TACTGTTTATACAATAATGAATTTGTCATTCATTATTGAATTAACAAATGAAGTTCTGCAAGAAAAGATAAATGCTGTTGGTTGCTATAACAAAGTCAATTTATTTTCACTTCAGAATTTGTATAGATGTATCTTAGGATGCTTGCAGTCTTACTTCTAATGAATAGGAGTAGTACTCCAATTCTGCTCTACTTTCAGGTTTGTTAAGCTCTATCTGAGTTAGTGAAAGGACAGTACTACTGATAACATTACCCGGAATATGTCACTATCTAATGGGTTTGCCACTATTACAAATTGTTACATTCCAAATTCTGGTACGGTTCCTGCATGGAGAATTCTAATCTGATAGCTTGCTTATAGCCTTGTCCTGGATTAATCTGAGCAGTTCAGTAAAGCCAGCACAGATACACATAATGCACAAACATCACACTAGTGAATTATAAGACAATCTTTTCTTGCTGGACAGTGCTGTACTGTTAGCACTGTACATTTTATCATGGCAATTTTAAGTGTCCAACTCCACACCTATATGTGTGCTTAGAAGTGTAAGTGTACTGCTTAATCAGGCTTTCTTTGCTTTTCTAGTTTATCATCTTCACAATCTGACCATCATCCATCTGCTCTTTAAAGTAAGAACTCATTTGCTTGGTTATTTCTGTACTCTACCAATTACAAAGCAAGAAACTGAAGTACTCTCTCTGAGCCTTTTCTTTTTCTGCATGACAGCTTTTCTTCTTTTACACTTCCCCTGACAATGAACTGTATAAACTCTTTCAGTCTCTAACCTAGCACAGTTATATCAAGTGAAGGTTTTTTGTGGGGACCTGGACTCTGTCTGTACTCTGAACAAAAATGGTTTTGCTCATTGTTTTGTTTCTTCTTATTATTTCTTCTATCATGTAGTGATCATCTAATTTACTTCTAAGCTGATGAGAACATAAATTAAAAAAATCAGGAAAGGTCTGTGAAAGGCCCCAGCACATGCCTAGGTCAGCATCTTGAATTAGGTAAGGTCTCAGGTTAGGTATGATCTCACATCGTGTTTGGAAAACAAATACAGTGTACAATTTTCAGCAGTGAGCACAAGTAGCCAGCAAAATAGTCAGTAGGATAGCTGAGAATAATCTTATTCCCAATACCTCTTCAAATTTTGAACACGTCTATAATAGACTATGACTCACAGCCCACATTTCCCTCTAGAATAGGGGATGAACATTTTGGGTGCAAATAAGGGGTTGACAGTAGGGAAACTGTTATCTACACTTCAACTACACCTCAGAGTTCTTTACTAGAAAATAAGAGAAAATTATTCATTTTATACCCTGCCTACAACCCGTCCTCTTAACCATTCATCAGTAGTTAAATTTATTGTCCATCTGCAATGGAGTCCATTTCACCATGGAGTCAACTGGAAAGAAATCCATCTCTCCATTTTACAGTAACTGAAGACTTCAGAGACTGCATTAAAAACACCTTACAAGACTCTGAACAAAAAGACACCAGAACAACTCAGACACACTAAAAATAAACATTCCTGTTTCACATAACTATTCAGAAATCAGATTCAGAAACTGAAGAAAATTGAAGACCCATATCAAATCACTCTTGTTATAGGAAAGCAGAATGGGACAATGCTCCTAGCTTTCATCACAGCATTTATTTTCCCTCTAGAGGAAAGATAATAAAATAGTATTAACAAAATACAAGTGGGAATTTCTAAAATCTAGTGGTCTTCAATGACTCTCCATTGTGATTTAAATGTATTTCCTTTTAAGAGTTTCTCATAAGAAAGGACTCATAATCAGAAAAACCTCAGTTTTCACTTGTCTCATTTTTATTTCAGCGACGGTACTTTGCACCACTGTGTATAGACAGCCTTTATAATTATTTTTATAAGTTAGACTAAACATAAGCACATTGCTCTTTCCTTTTTTTTTCTTTTAGGTCATCTGGAACAGGATTTAGGAGTGGAAAGTTCCAAGTCCCTGTATGGAGATATTGACAAGCGTGGGATTTTTAATTTATGCTCTGAGGTCTGTGCAGTCCATGCAGCGGTACAGATACCTGGTGAAGCAGGGGACTTGCACACTGAAAGTTGGCCTTGGGTGACCAAAATTCTAATTCAAATGAAGCTATCTTCTTAAAATCCTAGATGCCACATTTTCCAAATGTATGCCACTGTGCAGAAATGTGAATGAGTCACTGGATCAACAGAAATGCAAAAGACTGGCTGCTACTCCCTCGCTGGAGAACGCATTTGTGATGGGGGAGTTCTCAATACTGTTTCCATTCCTAATGAGATATATAGGTCTAAATCTGCATAATGCACATAAAGGGCCTAAAACTAGTCTTCAAAATTGTCATCCTTTCCACATAATTCTGGGCCTGATGGATCTGTTTTTTCTGCTTCTATCCTGGCTCCCTCTGGAGAAGAAGGGAAAAAGGGGCTCAATTCATAATAAGATTCGGATTAGGAAATCAGTAGAAAATCATCTTCCCATTTCCTAAATCTGAGCTTTAATCACCATCCCAGATTATAGTGTACAAGATAGACATCTGTTTCCTGCTTTTAAAGCTGCAGAAATCTGCCTTCAGCAGAAATGTCCAGCTGAACCTGAAGAGGAGAGGGGAGGGGAGGGGAGTGGAGCTGGAAGGCATGTACAACAATCTAGTTCACCTGTCTGACCACTTCAAAGATGACCAAAGTTTGAAGCATGTCCGCATGTCTCGTAAACTCTGACAGTCTTGGGGCATCGACCACCTCTCTAGGAAGCCTGTTCCAGCGTTCAACCACCGTCTCGATAAAGAAATGCTTCCTAACATCTAGTCTGAACATCTCCTGATGCAGATTTGAACCATTCTCGTATGTCTTGTCACCTCCCTCTACACTTTTCTTCCTCAGGAAGCTGTAGAGAGCAATGAGGTCATTCCTCAGCTTTCTTATTCCAAATCAGACAAGTTCAAAGTCCTCAGCCACTCCACACAGGACATGCCTTCAAGCCCTTTCACCGTCTGTGTTGTCTTCCTCTGGACACATCAAGGACCTTCACATCCTTCTTAAATGAAAGGGCCTAGAACTGTGCACAGTGCTCAACGTGAGGCCACACCAGTGCTGAATACATTGGGGTAACCCCCTCTTTTGCCCAGCTAGTTATATGTGTTTGATGCATTAGAAGTCATCAAGTGCATTTCACTATGCGAGATGGCCATGAAAATAGTTTCCCTCTGACAAAGGGTTTTTTTTGTTGTTCCAAACTTCCAGTGTAGTTTACAGTTGCCTGGCTGGGTCTTTGATCCTAAAGGAAGGACAAGAGCTATTTTCCCCATATTGGTTTCAGCAAATCAGAATATGAAATGAGGCTTTCAATTTCAGCTTTCAATTAAGTAGCTAATTAGACAAAATTCTTTATCAACAGGGAATATCCCAAATTTTTACATGAAGCAGATGTAGCACTTACATGAACAATATTCCTCAAACTGACAACCATGAAATACAAGCATAGGATAAATACTCCAGCCCTGGAAACATTGAAAAGGACATCATCTGACAAGACATCAGAAACAAACTGAGCATATGTGATTTTAACACCTTCATCATTATAACCAAAAACAGTTTTATGCTGCATGATTTTCTTTTGATTTTACCCTTTCCTTTTTAAGGGAATTAAATGCTAGGATTTTCAGAGCTGTGACAAAAAGTCACATATGTGACTTTTTGACCATAAGAGTATTTCCTGTTGCAAGTGTCTGATTATGTCTTTGGCAGTAGTACTATAGCCATTTCAACAGAAAAAAATCTAGTCATTTGCAATAATTCTTCACACATGTTTAAGGGAAAGACATGAAACTAGATTTTGCTCACTGAGAAGAAAACAAGCAACTTCTCAATGCAACAACTTGATTTTTCTGTTTTTTGCTGCTCTGATCCACTTTGTAGATGAATTAAATGGCACTAGTTGATTTGATTTGAAGAGACGAGGAGATGCCATGTGCCCCCTTGAAGGTTAACAACACTGAGGGCTATTACAAAGGTAGTTTATCTACTTCCACTGAGATTTTTTGCATGCTCCTTAGAAACAGTCTTCTAGCTCCTTAGAAACAGACTGTCTTCAGTAGTCTCTTCCTGAAGTCAGTCAAGTAACACATAGTAATCATTATGATCTGATCAATGATATTACATGCCTATGCTTCTTTTGTTTTTAATTACCAACTTAGGGTTTTTAAGGTTACTCTGCAACAAGTTTGTCCATGTAATGGGTTACTGCCCCGATCTGAAAAAGGAGTATACAATGGGTTTTGCTAAACTTTAAGATTCTCCTCAATTTTAGATTCTCAATTCTGACAGGATACTCTGTATCTGCTCCTTCAGGGAGCAGATGCTTCATGCTGCAGTTTTCAATTCAGAGGGGATGTTCAGCATCTGGCTATCCCAGAAGAAGATGAGCTGGCATTCTGCTTCCTACTGAACAGACCTCAGTAACATTACCCAGCAGATCTGGATAAAAATTAACCACTGAGCTCCAAGCTAAGGTTTATGGAAGGAGTCCCAGACAGTGCTGATGAGGCTGCACTGAGGCATAACAGCATGGCACTCTGCAGAACATTAAGGTTTGTTATCTCCTAAGTACATGTTAAACTCTACTTGCTTTCTTCAGAAGTTCAAGTCAATCAGACAAAACTTTACTCTTAAATTCTAAGGTAAATATATTTCTTGCCCCTGACCTCAGCAGAAATTACTTTATTCATAAATTCTATTTGTATAAAGGTCTCAACATCGAAGCAATACAGGCAATAATGTCATTAGCTAATAATGGGAATCATTTGAAGAAAAATACTAAAATACCTTAAATACTTAGCCTAAAATTTTGCAAACCATAATTGCACCATTCCTGAGAAAGAGTGAAAAGATTACAGCTAAAATGGGGTCAGCAGTACATGAGTTTTGTCCCACAAATCTTTTTAGTGACTTTCACTCCTTTCATATTTCAGCACACCTTCATTTCACTCTACCCAGCAGAGAGCTGAAATATTTTGTAATTGCGACCAGAAGCACTGTCTGGAGTTAATGTGTAGAAACACAGAACAGTACAAGAAACCCTCTGTTCCAGTGGTTTTAGGTCCAGAAGTCCTCTGAGCTTAGCTTCCTGGTCTTTCCTTCTCATGTGTTCATCCATACAGACATCAGCCAAGTAAAGCCAGCAGAATACTCTTTTGGAAACAAGAGAAATAACATACTACCTCTGTGTCTCAGCTGGAGAAAACTACAAAATGAGAGGTAATTCTTGGGCAGGGGGGCAATAATATTATTCATCAGAGAGAATAATCTGTCTCTGGTTTAATACGAAGCTGCCATTGGTGGGACTCTTAGGTACGGAAAGGATGTCCTGCAAAAAAAACCAGAGACTCCAACTACCATTCAAAGAAAATACTTAGAGTTAGAAATATTTAGAGCTAGAAATATTTGTATATTCTTATCAGTCAGTTTTCAGTAGAAAAGTCCTGATAAACTCTTTCCTCATGATATCTGTTGTTTGCCTCTTCCCTACAGAAATATAAAGTGCAATCATCATCATCATCATGGCTAGGCTTCGCAAATGAAGATTTGGGAAGGCACTACCCATGCTTGTTGCAAGCGTGTTGGAAGGCACTACCCACACTTGTTGAATGCACCATCTCACTATAACAGGCACCTGTTTTTTTTCCCCAGCTGTTTCATTATTCAACATATATCTCACTAAAATATCTCATGACAATACCTTTCTGATCCAGTTTTGTCTGCTTCCTGAATCCCATATTTTTGAAACAGTCTATCAGTAATTAATTTTTAAGATATTTTTAGGACTTGGAATATTTTTAGTATGCAAATTAATTACACATTTACAATAGAAATGTTCTGAAGTATGTAATTACAGATAGCCTTTGAGTGGTAAGATGTTAAGTACTTTTATACAGGATGTGGTTTCATCTCTCAGTTCCTGCAAGGCTGGTTACTAAAAAAATACTGCACATCTTATTAATGAGTTTCATATTGGGCTAAACTGAAACAAGTACTAGGAATGACATTAATATTTTGAACTTTATCCTTCTGAATCCCTCATGCTTTAAAAATACCTGCTAGCAGCAAATATGCTACACTTAGAGAAACTAGATTTGACCTTGCAGTACCCTGCAAATGTACCAGAGGTGCCTTCCTCCTTTTGCTCAATTAAACAAGGCTCCAAGCACTTGCTGTCACCTTTGTATTTGTTTGTTACCGATTAAAGTGTTCTTGCTGCATGAAGGTTCACATCTGCGACAGCAGCTGAGAAAATGTTTTATTTTTATCTCCCTGTGCTCCTAACTTCTTCAATTAATACTGTGAACTGAGCAGACTCCTTGAACTACCTTTTTTATAACAGTTGTTTCCCCTCAGAGCAAAGCTGCCTCATTTCTTGTAGATGGGATTTTGCTTTGACTCCAGGGTCACATCAAACATTTTACAGTCTTTAAATAAACTTATCTTTCCTTATTTGCATGAAACTTAGCAAATGGTGTTCATGACTTATTATTTTTCTCCTAAAGAAATAAAATGTAAAAGTCTGCCTATCTTGTTTCATTACCTGCTTATTTGTAATTACTGAAATACATAAAAGGTTTTTGTTTTTTATGTCAGGATCTTGCAGCCGTAGGCACTCTCCCTTATGTACGACGTCCAAACTGCAAAAACAAAATGGTGGCAGAAATCCTTCTCTTCAGTCTGTAAACTTTACAGACATTTATGGAAGCACTTAAGGCCCACATTTAAGGGCACTCTGGTACTTGTCACACAATTTAATATATCCAACTAATGCCAGTCTATGAGATGATCGACTGTATTTCAACCTTGTGCCATTATTAAGACATAATTCTATTTTGCAATCCTGTTGCACATAGCTGGCCTAAGCCTACAAGCACATAAACAGAAGTTCAAGCACTTGGCATGTCAGAAATGTCCTCTTTATCCTGTGATCTGGCAGCTACACACGTGCTCATCATGTGACCTGTCATGCAACAAAGATGTTTAAGTGTGCTCTAGAAAGATGGTAGGTAATGGACTACAGACTTTATTGCTCTACGTTTCAGGCTGAAAGTAGTTGAAAAACAGCTTCTACGTGTTTACTACTAAACTTAGTAATGTCAAAGCCTCACTGAAACATCCAAATGCGACTGTTTGTATTCGTTAACCATTAACATGTGCCCACCATGCTTTTGGCTTCCCACTTCCCATGCTTTTGTTGCATCCCACCTAGCAACATTACCAAAATAGAATGTTTGAGCATGTTTCAGAGAATAGTTTGAAGTATAAACTTTCCCCAGTAAGTTATATAGACCAGGTGATCCTCTTATCAGGGGAGAACATTTAGATGAAGAAATATGGAATATACAATGCTGCCTGCCCTCACAACCAAAGGATAAAATTTGGCCTGCAGCATCTACTAGTATAGAAGAAGACTGTGATGCTAAACACTTGAATGGGAATAAGCTGATGTCACATAAATCAGATTAATTATGAAGAATTGTCTTTCTTATGTTCCTAAGTACATACTGTAGTTTTTAATGGAAGTGATTGTCCTGATAAATACTTAGAGGTCTTTATCTTACTCTAAACAAGAACTGGGACAGTTGTAGCACCACTGCAACAACCTCTTTGCAGACAACTAGCAAGACCTCCACTGACTGTGAACAGTTTCTAACATCATAGTCCTTTACTAATATTATATAGAGTTTCTGCTGACAATCCTTACTACACAATCTAGTGCTTGTCAGCCAGAAACTTTTTAACCCCCCAAAATTTTACCTATATGGGACCTGGCCTTTTTTATTAGCAAAAACTGGATTATGATAGATAGTGTGAGAAAAAAAAAACCTGCAAGGATACTTCCACTGTAAATCATTAACTTCAGTATCTAAGTGTAATTGATTATGGAACATCAGTTAAGGTAGTTTACACTAAATACTGTGAAAAGGCACCAAAGTCATGTGTGTTTCTAAAAGCATGGCTGTATGACTTCAGACTAGCAAATTGAACCTGCAAAAGAATGTGAAAATAGCACAAAAGTTACTGTCATTTACACTGGCCAAGTATAGTAAGTAGTATGACAACCTGTCTCATGTTTGGCTAAACAACATCCCTGAGTGCTTCCTGAGGCTAAAGCTGGATCTTTGTCCAGCTTACACTGCAAAGGGCAGTGAAGGGTCTGGTAAGTGATGAAACAAATCTTTGAGTTAGTCACAGATGGGAAAAGTGTTCCTTGAATATTTGTAGTTACTAAAGCCTGTCTTCCTGGATATCAGGGGTTTTTTTATCTAAAAACTGAAATTTATGTGTTTTCCCCACATCTATACTCTCACAATTCCCCTCTTCCTCCTAAATCCCAGATGATTCCAGCGATGTCCATGGTGACTGACTTGCCACATGAACATGCTGAATAACTAACCTACAAACCACAAAAGAAATATCAGTTGAGTTCAGACTTAAACCTTTTTCTCATCAGACACTAATTTTATCTCTCTCATTTCCCTGCCATCATTTTTCATACAAGTTTTGGGACTGGAATAACTCATTAAATATGATTGAAATTAAACTTTAGATTCAAAACCTACTACAATGAGAGAAGTAAAATACATAGAAGTCCAATAATAATTTTTCTCTTGGAAAACGACATAGAATATTCTTTTTCCTGCATGCCCAGGAGGAATACATTCCATTTTCTTTTCTTGGCAGGAAATCCAAAGAGCCAGAACAGATTGCTGTTGAAAAGCCATGAAATTGATTCTCAATCATCTCTTCTGTTGGATCATTTTAGCTATAGTTCTGGTATTTAAAAAGTCATCAAGAGGATAGGTTTTAGCACTAAGTAAGGTGGACGTGATGACCTGAAAGGGCATTGCCTGGCCTTTTTACAATTGATGAAATTGCACAACTTTTCACAGAAAAATTGCTCATTGCATATCATGTTTGTTTAAATTTCAGCAAAGTGTAACTACTATCAGCAGGAGTCTATACCAATTATATCAAAAATCCTGTTTACAGCACAGTGCTTGGGATGATTACTACTACTCACACTTTAATATTCAGTAAATGGTATGAAAGTTATGTGGGGACTCAGAAATCAGAAATCAGGATCTCTGCCTCAGTGTGTGTCTCTCTCATAGACAGCCCGAAAGAGACTGAGAAGTGTGCTTGCATTCTTGACATCAGTCTCTAGGCAACAAAGAGCTGAATTATGGCTACTGAGTAGCACATGATCATAAAAGGCTTAAATTTCAGGAATCACATAAATACTATATGCACCTGTATACTTCAAAGTATCTAATCCATACTTACTACACATATATGTATGTATACATAAGAGTATGCAATATGTATAAAGTGTGTGTATATATACATATATTTGTACCTAAAGGTACATATGTTAATGTGATTCTCATATAAAGATGCATCTATAACATATAGGTACAATATATATATATAGTATGCAGAACACATGTATACTGGACCAGATGTTATTTCATGTGGTTCTCATCATATGTGTGCATATGTAGAGAGGTGTGTGATACATGTGAGATACATATGCATGTACCTATATTTGCATGAAAATATATGTATAGATGACTATTAATTCCATCATGCTTGAAGTACTTGCATTCAGACCTCAAAGAAGAAAGGCCATATAGTCATGGGTTTTGGCCAAGCCACTGCAGGCTGATGTCTAATCTGTTTTGGTTTCCTGCAATGTCTGTATCAATTCATATTACCTCTAAACTACCAGAGAGTGTGTTTTGAGACATACTTTGTGAGGTGATATGTGGGCTTGAAGTCAGAGCACATGCAATGTGGCCTAGAGTTTGTTCTTTCTTTGGGGATGCAAGGGGATCATCCAGGAGATGCCATTAATCTCATTTAAGAACTCACCATCTCTGAGGGTTCTTTGACTTCTCTGCTCAAAAAGGCAAATGTTTCTCCTCCTTGACTGTAATCACCCAATTCAACTAAAATAAATTTTCCTTCACAGGAGGGTAAGTGGGAGAGTTGGTGGTTTGCATGGACTGAGTCATTTCTCCTGTGGAGAAATCCCACATTAAATATTCAGGGAAATAGGAAACATGAAAGAGAACAGTCAGAAAAGTGAGCTCATCATGTACATCTATAGATGCAGGCAAGCAACACTCCCTGTTACTGAGCAAGGTAATATCTATCTTTAACAAACTCTTTTATTTCCTAGCTGTCCAGTAGCAATTTCATTCTCCTTTTCCACAAAAGCATCTATCTCTCCTTACTCTTGCTCTTTCACTACAGAATGGGAAGATGAGACAGTAAAGCTTGTTTTGAGAACCCAGAAATTACAGCTGTTTCAATCCGAATATTAAGAGGGTTGCAAGGCAACCTAACAGACAGAACAGGTGATCCTGCCAGTACTCTCCAACTATTGATCTGAAGGCCATTTTGTCAAAACCTCCTTAATTTACAGATATTGAGAATCATAGAATAGTAGAATCATAAAATTGAATCATAGAATCAACTGGGTTGGAAAAGACCTTCAAAATCATCAAGTCCAACCCTTCATCCAACACTGCTGTGGTTATTAGACCATGGCACTAAGTGCTACATCCAGTCTCATCTGAAAAACCTTCAGGGATGGTGAATCCACCACCTCCTTGGGAAAAAGATGCAGCTGTTGCATTGGCTGGGAATCGAACCCAGGCCTCCAGCATGGCAGGTGAGAATTCTACCACTGAATGCCAGATAAGATGTTTTTAACTCGTTTACAGAAAGGTGGTCAGTCTTTCATTATTTCCATAAAAATTAAATGTTCCTTTGGAAAGTATCCAGCTTCCTGAAGATCATCTCTGCGTGGACTCCTTATACATGTTCACATTTCAGCTGAGAGACCAAGCCAAGAGAACCAGTGCAGTGAAGAGGCAGAACAGGAATAGGGAAGTACTACAGAGCCCAGAGGTCTAATGAATATTTAATTATTTAAGAAATAATTTTAAGAAAGCAGATCAGCCAAATTAGACATCCTGGACCTTTGATCACTCTGCTGGGACATAAAAGACTGCCCTATCTTCCACTCTGTCTGTTTGGAAAATGGGGTCTTTTACATTGGTAGTTATTTAAGAGTCCATTTGTTAGCTATCTGGAATCTTAAAAGTGTTGGGTTTTGTTCACAGCCTGCAAAACAAGTGCCAGGCTTCACATGTGAAGGTGGGATCCATTTACCCAGCTAGACAACACGTGGCAACACTGGTCATCTCTCAAACAGTCATCACTTAACTATTTAGGGCTTACTAGGTAAAATCAAAAGTTTGAAATGCTACCTGAAAGCCAGGCACCCATCCCAGTCAGGAAATAATAGGACTAAATTAGCAACAGGACCATCAGGTTTTGTTACCCTGGCAAGGGCAGGAGGACTGGCTTCAGGACTCAGGGCCAGCTTGGAGTCGAGCAGCTGAGGCGGCTCTCATCCCACTGGGATGCCAGGCAATGGCCCAACCTGGCCCGTGGCACTTGCTATTCAACTGGGGCTGAGCTACAGAGCCCAAGGCACCACAGCCCTGTCCTGCCACCCCACAGGACCCACCTGTGAGCCCATGGCCTGGCCTCAACCCATCCCTGCTGTCCCAAATATGGTTGGGACATTTGGAATGGTGAAAGTTTGGTATTTCCCATTTAGGAAACAATGTAAAGATAGAGCAATGGGCTATACATTCCTTCAGCTCCATTTTACCATGTATGCTCTATGAGGAAGGGGCTTATGTGAGTAAGGGGGAATTACAGCCTCTGGGTGGATATTTCACTGCGTCAGTGATTAAAGGTCAGCACAAAGTTCAAGCAAAATTCTTCTTTGGCTTCAGCAGTAGCTTGTAATGGTGTTACCTCCTTGCTGGATTATAGTGTCATCCTGCTCTTGCTCCTCAGGTTGTGGCTCCTTGTTTCTGCTAGCTGTCCTTCCAGGAAAGCAGTGATGGTCTACAGGGAGCTGAGAGTCTGCAAGCAAACATGACCCCTTGCACCCACACGCCCCACTTCTGTGCACTGCTGATGACTAGGGCAGGGGGAAACACAAAGTCATGGGTCCTCTAACGAGGCCACTTCAAATGGTGGGCAGTGGCTTAAAAGCTGCTCTATTTGATTTTCACTTGTAATTCCATGGGCCTGTGCCCTGGAGAGCTGCCAGGCTGATGCTGTTTAGCTCCTTGCTAAACAGAATGCTACTTTGACCTTTGACATCATTAGTCTCTGAGGTGTTATTATGCTGTTCTTTTAGTGTCAACTGTCTTCCTATTGTCACCTGCTCCCCTTCAATGCAGAAATTTCCTTGTTTGCTATGGAGATCCCATTGTGGCCCACAAGGTAAATGAATCACTGCTCATAACTATTATTTACCTCAAAGGTGAGGAAAACCTATTAACCTGTAAATCCCTCCCTGTAGTCTTGTCTTGTTCCCGTCTGCCATCTTGTGGCAGTAAAAATTTAATTCGGCTGTAGCCAGAACTGTCATTCCAGACTGAGGGGCAGCAAAGCACCGAGTTGTTGCCTGTCCCACCTCTATAAGCTTATTCCCTCACGATGTTGAGAGGCACCCTGTGTTGCTGCCCAGGGAATGATGGAATCATTAAATACCATCTCTGAAGGTATTTAAAAGACATGTAGGTGTGGCACTCAGGGACACGGTTTAGTGGTGGACCTGGCAGTGTTAAGCTAATGGTTGAACACAATAATCCTAAAGGTCTTCTCTAACCTAAATGATTCTATGATTCTGTGTTAGGCACACACCACGGTAACAGGCATTCCAACCTTTTCCAGAATTTGGTGACAAACCTGAAATAAAATGTTCACATCAACAATTTGGAAGATGTTCAGAGTGAGAAGGAGAGATAAGGTTGGATTAGAAATGCATTACACGTACAATGCATCAAAACAGAAATTAAATCTTGTCCAGAACAACTGATATGTTTTTCCCTTCTGTAATTATTTCTGAAGAGAATGATGAGGTGACAAGGGAACCAGGAGAAGCCACAGGCAGACTTGGGAATATTGAATAAGGGTCAGCAGTGATAGCTTACCAAGGCTTCACAGCAAGTAAGACAAAATTGAATTTGTTATTTCACATATGAGGACAGGCCACAGCTGTGATGGAGAACAAAAAGGCAGATGGAAAGGGCTGGAGCAGCAACACAGAACTCTGTCCCAGTTTCAGAGGAGAGTCCTTGAAGTCACACCAGACATTACTGTAGTGGCTGGGACTGTACAATAATGTGCTCAGCCACGCAGAGAGGCTGCCTCTTCTCCAAACACACCACAGCTATGATGTCATGGCTAGCTCCCGCTCAGCCACAAGAAGTATCAGCCACAAGAAGTATCATGAGCAGAAGATATGGCTCTACAAACAGCTTATTTCCTACAGTAGCATGCCATTGTAGACATCAATCTGCTTTATCTCACCTAGAGACATTTGAGATCCCTGGAGAGCCTCTGCCATCAGATCCACAGGTCTTGCTAGCTTGTCAGCCGTGAGAGCTGACACCATCCACACAGGCCAGTGTCAGCAGAGGTTATTGAAGAAATGCCTTTCCTTGGCAGAGCAGGTAAAGACTGAGCATAACTTGCATCTATAGGGGCTGGATTTATGCAGACAATGCACTGAGATCAGAAACATACAAGTCAAGTGCTCTTAAGATGAACATTCTGGTGAAACAAAGCATGGAAGAGGAAATCCCTTAAAGTCTTTGAAGTGAATTTAATAGTTCCAATATTTACACTCATCCTAGCATGATAACATTTCTGTCAGAACAAAATATTGCTAATATTATAAAATAAGGCACTTGGAAGTTAGAAAATGCCAGCACTGTAGCATAATGACAGATTTACTTCTGGGGATGTCCATGGCAATCATCATTCAGGACCTTTATGATAACAGGAAGGAAAATCTGTTTCTTAGATCAGTATTCCCTTGCTTTTTCTATAAAGCAAGGACTGCTCAATATTTTAGAAATATTTCTGCAGAACAATAGCCCACAGTAACTTTAATTTATAAAAGCAACAAATGATCATTAGATACTATATTTTTAGCCTTTTTTTGTGGACAGATGTATTCATTTTAATTAAATATATTAATGGACTAATATTTGGTCCAATATTTTCTCATATTTTACAACCTTCTAGACTGATTGAATTTCAGGCTAATGGATAATTTTGTAGATTATTCTTCCCTCGTGTTACAGAATGAGACAAAATGATATGATGATGCAAGTAACTGTGTCTTCCTTTACCTCTGACCCAGAGTGGTGCTGAGCTAATCAATTAAATGAAACTTTCTCCAAGTAGTCCCTAGTCCCATGCTCTTCTTAACATGTCATATTTTTGTGTGAATTCAGTCGCAGAATCACAGAACAATTCAGGCTGGAAGGGACCTCGTGTAGTCCGTAGTCTAACCTCCTGTTCAAAGCTGTTTTATATTTACCTATATTAAAGCTGTAAATATGTAAACAGATTCTTTAGAAGCTATTTCTAAAGCTCCTTTTGATGTGCATTCAGTGTTCATGTTGTCATGAAAGTGTTACATTATCCTGCCTCTGGATGTCAGCACTTGCCCTCATTTGGAGGCGTTTATAAATTGTCCTTCAAATTGCTTTTCTCTAAGGAACCATAAAGCCAGAGAGATTCCAGTTCTCATTCTGAAATCATCTGAACAGTTTGGTCTGGCTGGAATAATTATCCTGAGTCAGAAAATTATATTATCTGTGTAATTGAGAAGAGATTTTTTTTCAGGATTTCACTTCTAAGATGTAGGGGAAAGGGAGATTCAATCCTGAATTCACCTTTTTCCCCACCATTCAGACTGCAAGCCATGAGCAAGAAACAGGAAGTAAGAAGAAATAGAACAGGTTCAAACACCTGCTGTGCTACCCACTTGCTGATGATGCACTTTCAGATGAGCAAAAGTTATACACAGCTTTTTATTTCAAGCTAAAGCTTGCCTCTGAGACAAGATCTGTATGAGGCTGCACTATTCTTGCTTTTGTTATGGCCAGGTGGTGGGGACAGAGGCTCTGGAAGGGCCATTTTGCTCTTCACAAATGTAGTCAGAGTCATGGCTGTCACGTGAAGGAAGAGCAAGAGAGTAAAGAGGGAAGAGAACAGTGATTGTTTTAACAGAAAGACCATAATGCCTATCTGTCAGAGACTGAAATGGTTGATGATTTATGCATTCTAGGAGACTTTTACAGGCTTTTGACTTGCATGATACCTCTGATGAGCAGTGGAGCCCCTCCCTCCCTCCAGTGCTGAAGGTGTGAAGTCCTGAAAAAGCAAGAGCTGACCTTGCAGGCTTTTGACTATTGATGCATCTGATGGGCAATCAAGGCCCTCCCTCCCTCCAGTGCTGGAGGTGTGAAGTCCTGAAAAGGCAAGAACTGACCTTGCAGGCTTTTGACTATTGATACATCTGATGGGCAATCAGGACCCGCCCTCCCTCTGCTAAACTTGAAAGGCGGGAACCAGGCGAAACACAAAAGACACAGCACAAGGCCTAGAAGATGCCTCAGGTGGACTAAGCCCAAAAAAGGAAAACAACCCCTCATGCCAGGGAGGTGCCAGAGCATGCTGAGGGTATATAAACTGACTGGTGACTTTGAGAATTTGGGAGTTCTCCTTCTCCCCCACCGCCTGCGAATCAAGACCATCGCTCTCAAGCATCGCTGGATCCAGTGGGCGGTGACTATGTCCATTTCTTTTATACTCTCAGCTTCTCTTTTCCCTTACTCTCATCCTGGTTTTCCTCTCCCCTAAACAGTTTCTCCCCCCCCCCAAAAGGGGTTCTTTTCTTTTCTCTTACTCTCCCTGGCTCTTATCCTGCCTTTCTCTACCCTATGCATTTTTCTCCTTCCCAGAAAGGTTATGACAGCACCCAAAAGTGTTAGCTTACCTATTGATTATGACAGCACCCAAAAATGTTAACTTACCTGTTGATTCAAAATTGTTAAAATAAATCTTATCAATATATATTTTCATACACCGATTATTTAGTGTCGTTTCGCTTTAATCCACCCCAAAGGAATTTTTGATAAAACCCGGGTTACCCCCCCCCCTCTTTTCCTGGGGCGGGTCGTAACACTATCCAATGTAGCATACCTTTGGTCTCTCTCCTGGTGCACACCAGTAAGCTCTCAAACCCAGTGGGGTCACAGTGTGACTTCTGCAGGCTCAGTCACAGCAGGGTCTCCGTAACACCCAACTCTCAGAAACACTCAAAAGATTTGAAGGAACTCAGCACCTTATGGGACCAACTCTCAGCTTTTCTGTAGCTCCTACTGTGTGCACTCAGAGGCACTGCTAGTAAAATTTCTCTAGATCTCAGTAACTGGATACAAGCATATCCTACGGAAATTTGTCTTCCTAGAAGATTTTACTTCTTATTTTGACATGATTAGACACAGAACCATAGAATATTTCAGGTTGGAATGGGCCTATGAGGATCATCAAGTCCAATTCCCCGCTCCTTGAAGGACTACGTCAAATTAAATCATATGACTAAGAACATCATCCAGACAGCCCTTGAACTCTGGCAGGCTTGGTGCCATAACCACTTCCCTGGGTACCCTGTTCCAGTAATCGACCACTCTCTTAGTGTAGAACCTTTTCCTAGTATGCAATCTGAACTTCCTTGGAAACAGCTTTGTTCCATTTCCTTGTATCCTACTGCTGGTCACCAGAGAGAGATCAGCACCTCCCGCTTCGCTGCCCTCCTTTAGGAAGTTGCAGACTGTGATGAGGTCAACCCTCAGCCTTCCCTTCTTCAAGCTGAACTAAGTAACTTCAGTCGTTGCTCATACATCTTGCCCTTGAGGACTTTCACCATCTTGGTCGCCCGTCTCTGGGCACACTCTAACAGCTTTATATCCTTCTCATACTGTGGTGCCCCAAACTGCACACAGCACTTGAGTTGGGGCCGCACCAGTATGGTGCAGAGTGGGACAATCACGTCCCTTGACCAGGTGGCAATGCTGTGCTTGAATCCAATAATATAATGTATTATCCAATAATCTCCAATGTAAAACAAAAAAAAAAACTCCACAAAATCTCTCTATGGAAATTATTTAGTTAAGATTGAATTTCCTGACAAAATAGAAATAAGTGATAACTCATGCATGCAAACCAGAATGTCCTGTCCCGTGTGGATTTATATTCATACCATCCTACATCAACAAGTTCAATCTGACAAACACAATGTATTGCTAGAATGTTGCCCCCTGAAGCATGACATACAGGTTTATGCTGGAATTAATGAAATTCTCTATTTTTATTCATTACATTGGGATGTGAGCTAAGACAATAAATGCCTTAGAAAGAATGAACATTCAAAAGCCCCTGTTATCTTGTGTATTGAAAGACACTTGTTTTCAGATTTAACGCATGACACCAAATAACTCAGGCATAGTTGTTTTGTCTAAATACATCTGTCAGAAGTAAGATTCAAATTCAAAAAAAACCCCAAACTGAAATTTATATAAGAGGAAATTCCTGCCATGCTAAATGTACTCTGATTTAATCTAAAAATGGTGGAGCAATACTATTATAGCCCAATTTACCCCCCTTTCAATCACTCATTAAGCTGGTTTGGATCCACAGATGCTTTTACAACTCCCAAGTGCAGTGAAAATGGTGTAAATTCTTCCATGCTAAGATCAAGTATGAAGATACTTTCATGCTATGCAGCCATCTCTGACTTTTTGAACCAAATTAGAGATCAATTAAGAAAAGTGGGTGCAAAACAAACCCATAGAACTAGATGAGATGTGTTCATGGGCAGTACAAGACCTGCCATTTGCTATTGTAAGGCCACTCTAAGTCATCATTGTAAGGTCATGGAAATTAGGTGAAATCCCCACTGACTGAAAAAAAGGTAAATGTAGCACCCATCTTCAAAGGGCAAGGAAAGAAAAAGGGTGGCTTGTTCACTTAATATCTGTCCACAAGAAAATTAGGAGACAGACTTTCCTGAAGGACATTTGCAAGCACAAGAATTTTACTGAGAGCAGCCAGCACAGATATATCAAGTCATCACACCCAACAAGCCTGATGGCTTTGTTTGATGGGCTGAATGGATCATAGAACAGTTGGAGACTTGTAGAAATGTCTTTAGCAAGGCATAAGTAGCCCATAATAACCTCAGAGCCAAACCAAAGAGATAGACTAGAAGGTCAAGGTTGCTTTGAACAGCTCTCACAATCTGCCTGTATTCATGAATTTATTCTTTTTCTTCAGTAGCAAAGGAGCAAAAGTGCTTGTTTCCAGTGAACAAATCAAAGTGAATTATTATTATTACTTGATCAGTTCTGATGCTCCTTGGTGCAGTGTAGTGCATGAAAATACAGTCTGCTGAAAAACGGCCCCCATGACAAGCTCAAGGAAAGCCAGGCAGCCTGTAAAATGGAAGATGATTTAGTGCTTGTGATCTTTGCTTACTTCACTGTCAGCTACTGCTTCTGTCTTCCATTAAGACTTTTTAGATTACAAGCAGATGGAACTTTATAGATATATCTGTAGTCTTACAAGCGCTACTCTACTTGTACCCTATTAACTATGA